TTTTTGTTTTCTCCCTGCTCTTCTAAATCTTGGGAACTTTAAGGTTTTGTGGGTGGGGATTTTTGGGGGTTGGAGCCAACATAACTTAAAGGTGGCAAAGGTTGGGAAACACTGGTTTAGACAGTGCTGAACTTAGAGGAAAGCTCTGCCTCTCCTTTTATGGCTGGGGCTTTGTGTCTGTGCCTGATGCATGATTTAAAAAGTGGAATTTTCTCTTTGCATCATCAAGATAAAGCAATCTACCAAAGTTATCAAGCTCTTGGTGAGCCTTTTCAAGAAGTAAGGAAGTAGCAATCCTGGGGTGTTTTAAGGGGCTCAAGGTTTTCTTTCTAGAAGTGTATCCCCATCTTTGTTTTGTATTTTTATCTTCTGACTACTGCCTAGTGCTCTTGACGTGTGTGCTTTTTTTTTTTTTTGCAAGGGATAGAATAATGGGGGGGGAGTGATTTACCAATTAACATTCTGTTTTTCATACCATTGTTAAAGACCCAGGAACCCTGTTAGCAAAACAAGTTGACTGCAAGCCTTCTGCATGCTAGCAGTGACACCTCAGTTTGTGGCTCTGCCTTTGGCCTAGTGGCGGCCTCCTGAGTCTTACTTGTTGACTCAATCACTTGTAGAATTGTCTCTTGGGCCTGACACAAGTAGAATTGCTGGCCTCTTAATGAACTCCAAGGGGGGTGTTTATCACCTTCCTAATTGAGATCTGGCTTCAGGCAGCCTCAATTAGCACAGTAATTGGGCTCAAAGAGACCTAATCTGTTTGTGTAAAGCTGCAACCACTGGGGAAACAGGAGGATAAGGTCAAGCATAGACAGCAGGATGTGCAAATCAGAATGGATGAAGTAGTTTGGATTTGGAGTGAAAAGGAAACCTACTCCAGGTTATAGTAATAGGCGCATGCCATTTCTTTCCCCTGAAATAATTTTTAGGAATCAGCAGGGCTGGATGACAGATCATATCATATCATATCCCTGAGAATGATGGAGTTGGGATCAAACAACATTTTGAAAGGGTGAAGATACCTCATATCTGCAAGTTTTTTTCTTTGAGGAGAAAAATCAAACAATGCCATACAAGTTCTAATAGTTACGTTGACCAGCAAAAAGCACTGTATGAACAGTTCCATCCTTATTGCAGGTAGCAAGATGCTTTTCTGTAGGGTTCAAACCCTCTACCAGGAATTGAACTCATGGACCTTTGTATCTTAGATGACTATCTGCAGTGCATTAACTTTAAGAGCTATTGAAGTCCTGGCACTCAATGGTTGTAGGAAAGAGTATCTAGAAACGCTTTCAGAATGGGGAAGTCATGTAAAACTCTGTACAAGGGGGCATGAAATAATGTAACATCTGTATCTCTCTGCTCTGGGAGCTTAAGGGAAGGTGGACTGAATATGCCATTCTGATAGCGCTTCTAGAATTTGAACCCCGTAGAGTAACATCTGGCTACCTGCATGTAAGGAGTCCCAATAAGGACAAAACTAGGCAGGTGGTATCTCCTGGTGGTCAAAGTAACCGAAAATACTACAAAGGATATATAATACCCCCTCCCAAAAAAGGAGGTGTGGAAATCATGTAAAACCCCATACATAGGGACATGACAGAATGGTACATCTGTATTTATCTGCTCCGAGAACTTAAGAGGAGTTTTAATAGTGTAGATTAAATAGATCACAAAGTTGGGAATCTGCAAGCAGTTTTTAATTCAAACATTTTCTCTTTGTATTTGTGCTTTCTTCTGAGGAATTCTCAATATCATCCAAAGTAAACATTTTATAAGGACTGGCAGAAGGATGCCCTTTGTTTAATCCACCACCCCCTAATATTTTCCTCGCTTGAAGTGAACAAGAGGAAATGAATAAACCAGCTTTCCCCAGTCTGGTATCTTTCAGATATGTTGGGATTTCAATACCCCGAATTCCCAGTCTGCATGCAATCCCAACACATTTGAAAGCCACCAAGCTGGGGAAGACTCAGCAAAGTCTGTATTAAAGAAAATGCACCTCTTGAGAGGAGGGCCAACAGGTTGAGTGTCCCTACACAAAAAATGCTTTGGTTTCTGTGGTCCATGAAATTTCTTTCATCTCTGTTCTGTGATAGCTGATGAACAAAGAATGCTGCTGCGGGCAAACGAATGTTATGGGTGGGATAAAATGCAGGAAATGCTGACTGGATTGCAAAGAGAGGAAGGGATCTCTGGTACTACCCCTAGTTGGAATCTGAATAGTAATCCACTCTCTCTGTTCTTTCTTCCCTCTTCTTTCAGGTATCCCTCTGCTGGGCTGTCTCTTCGTGCTGCCATTGACCATTCCATGGGCTCGACTTTCAGAATCATGGCTGGGAATAGTGCACTATTTGGCTTGCATTTTTCCACAGCTGGGCAGTGTGCTTTACCACCTCTTCATGAATCATGAGGGAGGCCCTGCTGTTTACCATACGTTGCTCACCCTTGATATGTGTGGGGTATGCATGGTCAACACTTTGGGTGAGTTAAAGTGCTCCCCTGTTATACTTGGATGACTTACTGGGATGGAGGAGCAAAAGAATAAAGTCACTATTTGTACTGAGAACACAGGAGGACTGAAACTGCTTTTTGAGCTGGGAGCAGGTTGCAATCTGGAGGGTATATGAGTCAAATTGTTTTGGATTTGGGTACTGAAGAGCCAATCTTTATGTGATGACAGAAGCCATTTTGGGTAAAAGATCAAGAATGAAGAAGAGGTAGGATGGATGTAGAATTGAGCAGTTCTGATTATGCTTAGAAAGGAAATACTCATACTGACTTGAAAGAAACTGAATTTAAAACAATGAAAAATCTCATATTTTCAGTGAATGATCTTTGCATTGTAAAGGTAAATTATTTGGGGAAAAAAGAGCTTTTCATTCCTGTAAATACAATAGTGTTTGTTCTGAGAGGGTCTGAGGGGCAGCTGAAATATTTCAAGAGTGCTAGTGACTGGTCATGTAAGCTGATTGGCACTATTTTTATCCTTAATTTCTTGGTGGACTGACTGTCTCTTTCCATACAGGTGCTCTGCCAATCATCTACTGCACGCTGGCCTGCTCTCCACTTCCTCGTACTATTGCCCTGCTGGCCTACACAGGCTTGTCAAGTTATGGTATCTTTTGTGCAGTGACTGCTCGCTCCAGTGTCCGGCGCTTACGAGCCTTTGCCTGGCAGGCTCTGTTCCGCTTCTTCTTCTTCTACTTGCGGTGGGTGGGACTAGGCACTGGCAATCCCACCTCTCTGCGTTCATACCTCATTATGGACGGCCTGGCCTTTCTTGGGGGCGTCATCAACATCTCGCGGGTGCCTGAGCGCTGGAAGCCAGGCTGTTTTGACTACTGGTTCAACAGCCATCAGATTATGCACGTGCTGGTGGTGGTCAGTATACTCTATCTCCACTGGGGAGTAGTGGCTGATCTTCATTGGATCGCCAACTATGCCTGTCCAACGGAATGACTGCATCATGTTTGGACTCATCCCTTCCACAGAAAATCTGCTGATTGAGAAGTGGGCAACTTCTAAGGTGTGAGCCATTGTTCTCATTGTTCAAGATCTTCTACAAGGGCTGAAGTGCATAAGAAAGGACATCTTCTGGATATAATTTATTTAAAACAGGCTGCATTTTTTTCTGTGGGGGTTATACAGTAATTTCCTATTGGTTGATTATTCATGGATCAACTTGTATAGGATTTATATACTTCTGAGTCTAAAGTAATGGATTTCCACTGCTTGAGGTTTAGATCAGTTTGTGCTGTTCAACTATTCTTCCCAAATTACAACAGGCAAACATAATTTGGTTAAAAAATTGATCTCTAATAACATGTGGGAAATAATTAACTGTACTAGTGAAGATTCCCATCCCCCCAACTCTTATTCTTGTTCACTGTAGGACTTTTTGTCATCAGAGCTAGTCTTCAGGTAGCTTTGATGGTAGTTGGAAGAACCCTATTTACTTGGATCTCTTTTTCATCTGCATTGAAGATGAAATGGGCACTGGGAAAAAAATATATGCTTGTTCTTAGTAGAAGATGTTGGAGCTGTGTGCAGCTTCTCTGCTTTTTAGAGACAGTTACTTAAATACTTTTTATCCAGGTATCTTTCAGACACCATGCAATACTTTCTTATTTTTAAAAGGGCTTGTCAGACACCAGAATATTAAAATCTGCTGCATAGTTTTTCTTTACCTGCCAGAAGGATAATTAGGAGCCTTGAAATTGGATTTGGATTGAAGTTCAGGAGCCCAGATTTCAAGTTCTGGGTACTGTCATCAACTTTAGGGCCATGACTCCTTTGCAGCATACCTCAGTTTCCTATTTCTCTCTTGGCAGAGTATGCAAAAGTTTATGGTCAGATTGGAGTTCTTTTTCTGCTACCACATCCCAATTTTACCCTGACCAGAGCAGTGCTTTTCAAAGCTTTATAGTTTTGTATGAATTTGGAAGAACTCTTTCTACTCCATTGATATGGCTGCTGCAGTTGCAGTAATCAGTGATAGGCAAGTGAGATGCTGCTGTCTTCTCCCCTTTATTACTGTCCTGACTGGTCCATTTACTACAGTAGGCTTCTACATTTCAGTTCACTTCTTTCACTAGCTTCTGGAATTGGTCCATTCTGAAAAGTTCACTTTTTAATTTGACTTGTTTTGGTACAAATAGAATCCTGAATTGATTCTTCCTCTGAAGAATTACGTTTTTAACTGCTGGTCCATGATCAGAATTTTTGGGGGAGGGGAGCATTTTGAGAACCTAATCAGAAGTGGCAGGTTGAGGTTCAAAACAGCATTCTAGCAAATATTTTTAAATCCCTTTGAAGACTTCTCTTGGCTCAAAATTAAGAACTGGGAGCTTAATTGTAGGTGCCTAAATTTGGCTCATAGTCCTTAGCTGCTGAACCATATTAGGTACTGATACGTGTAAGACCATTGTCTAAATAGGGGTGAAGTATGTGTGATCTTATAGGCCCTGGTGCTCTTCCACATCTGAACACTCAGAAACTTGTGCATAATGTTATTTTCAATGTAAAATGGATCTTCAAGTGGAATTTGTTTTAGTGTTTTATGGCAGATCTTAATATCACATTTTTTGGTTTAGCTTCAAAAATACATCTAAATCAAGCAACCCAATCAATATTTGGTAGCCCTTTATATTTTGCATTTATGTAGATCACAGTAATTTGGCTTTTAAAAAGCTATGTGTAGATGTTCCTCTCCTTGAAATGGGGGATTCTCTATTTTCTATGCAGCACTGAATTACTCTATATTGTATTAGTGAATGAGCCACAGAGTATTTAAGAAAATAGTTAAAATCTGTTATGTGACCTTTACTGAAAACTAGTTTTCAATGTATAGTAAACCAAACCTATTTGGATTTTAATCTACTTTAGGGCCAAATAAGAAAAAAAAAATCCTTGTATCTTTCTAAGAATATAAGTGGCAGTGGAAACTCCTTCCTCCAAGGAAAGAAACTGGGAGAGGGCAGAGGATGATATTGTGACTAACATATCAAATAAACTTATTTCTGATTCTTTTAAAGATCAAAATTGGCCTCCAGCACCTGGAAATCCACCTTGTTAAAAACAGACAGACTGAAAAGGAACAATGTAGATTTATAGGCATGGAAGCCAATTTTGATATTTAAAAGAATCAGAAAAAACTTATATTAGTGTGTATGTTAGCTTGGATGTATCCTCTTTAGAGAAAGTAACTAAACTTGGATAAAACATGGAAGTATCTGATGTAACTTAACAAGAAGCTGAAGTAGGAAAGTGAGTCAGATGAGTTCTTGCAGGAACAGGGTGAAAGTTAAAGAATTTCTGCGTGTTAGGTTGTAAGTAGATCTGTGTTATGAAAAGGGAAGGATTGACCTAAACCTTCCATGTTAGAATGTGAATTTTGTGTCATACAGCTATTTTGGAAGAGGGTTTAATCTGCTGCTAATCAAGTCTTGTCTCTTGTTATCTCAGGGTAGATGGACATTGCTGATGTTCACAGCTTCTGAAGTTGAAGCTACACATATCTTTAAAATAAAAGAGCAAGGCACCACATCCAAAAATGCACTTCATGGGAGAGGGAGGGAGAGATGGGGATTTTAAGTGCTTATGGTCCAGAACCTTAAAAAAGGCTGAAAAAAATTAAAGCTGGGCAGTGGCAGATTTGTGCTTTTAATAAAGAATATCTAAAAATGGGGCCTATAATAAGAAATGAACTGCTACTTCAAATCTGTTGAAATTCTTCAGAAGCTTCCCCCATGATGGCTAGACCATCTCCAGTGCCAGGTGGCTCCTTCATATAGCCACTAGGGCAGTGTTGTCCAAACTTGGCCACTTTAAGATGAGTGGACTTCAACTCCCAGAATCCCCCAGCCAGCATGGCTGGCT